GAGGGGGAGGGGGAGGGGCAGCAGGCGGGGACTCGGCAACTCCGCTTCCGACGGAAATAACCTACTAGCTAGAGGAAGACCATGAACGGCCACAAGAGGGGGCCCTGGCCTCCTTTCTTCCCTACCCCCGTCAGCAGACCCCCCCCATAGGGCCCTGCGCCCCGCATCCCTTGTGCCGCAGAACGTATCTCCCCCCCCACACACACACCAACAGCCCCCTGCCCCCTGCCGTCCTCCCCCCCTCGTCAGCACCCACTTGTCGCCAGTGCGTGCTTGGTGAGCACCAGTCTGTTCACGGAGCCGATCACCGAGTTGGAGTCCGCGGAGTCGGGGCGCTGGGAGTGGGGGCTGCGAGGGGGGGAGCCAACACTGGGGCCGCCAGCGGGGGAAGGGGGTTGATGGGGGAGGGAAGGGCGGGAACATTGCTCACGGCACAGGCGGAGGGTGCGTCGGCATGCATGTGTGCATGTGTGCCTGTGTGTGTGTGAGAGAGTGTGTGTTTCATGTTGGTTGATTATTGACATTATTGACATACGTTGGCAGGGAAAGCGGGAGATGTCGCCCATCCCCCCTCATGAGAAGCAGCGCATCGGCGTTTGTATGTACATATGTGTGCACAGCCGCGCAGATGTGGGCCCGGTCAAAAGTGTTTCGACAAACCTACATACATACATACATACATACATACATACATACATACATACATGCCAACCGGGGTGGATGAATTCGTAAAACAGCTCCAAAGCTACGGTGCCCGTGGGCCGAATGGGGCTGTCAGCATAACGTCGTGTGTTTGTGTGCATGTGCATTTTGCGCTTATGCCGTATATGTTGGTTGGTACCTTTCCGGCAGTACATCCAGCCCGGACATCCTGGATCGTGCTGAGCCCCTGGAGCGGATTGACCCACGGGACACCGGGCGCCCGCTGTCGCTGTGTTGTATCATCATGAGGCTGCCGCTCCCTCCCCCCGGCCCCAGGGGCGAGGGAGGTCCGCGGTGCAGGGGGCCCCCGGACATGGACCTGACCATCAGGCGGGAGCGGGGCCGGTCGGGGCTACTGCCGGAGCTGTAGTCCGACCCGTCCGCGGTGGAGAGGGGGTCGTCTGCGGGTGGGGTGTGAGGGAGACCCGGGCGCACCAGGACTTGTGTGGGGGTGTAGGTGTGCGTGTGAGTGGGTGAGTGGGTGAGTGGGTGAGTGGGTGAGTGGGTGAGTGGGTGAGTGGGTGAGTGGGTGAGTGGGAGGGTTAGATTCCTAGAATTAGGGTTTTGGAATGGGGGTTGGAGGGGGGTGCAGATACACGCGACTCCGGCGCTCTGCCTGCCCTGGCGGCCTCCTTCGTTGGCTGGGCAAAGGCGTGCAGGAGGGGAGGGGCGGACGGAAGAGCCGTGCTTGCGCGCAGCTACTGGACGCTGGTATGCGGGCGCGGAGGGTGGGATACCGGGGATGCGGCTGGGGGTGCGTCACAACCCCACCGTCACTTACCCAGCCGGCCCCTGCGGGAGGGTTGCAAGCGGTTGTACGACAGCCCCTGGCGGCCCTCCGCACTACCGTCACCACCGCCACCGCTGCTGGCGCTACGACCTGGCGACGACCTCCAGCCTCTGCCGCGGCCGCCGTCCGCGTCATCTGCCGCCGCCGCCGCCGCCGCATCCAGAAACGTCCGCCGCGCCGTTCCCGATCCGAACGCCACCGGCACACCACTCAGCGTGGAACGACCCCGACGTAACATACGGCCGTGGGGGATGCGGCAAAACCCGCCACCGGGGGCGGCTCCGCCGCCGGCGGCGGCTCCCCCGCCGCTGCTATCGCCGTGCCGTGGCGACGTGCCAATGGCAGCCGCCGCCTCGGCGGCAGCGCCCGCGAAGCCGCCGCCACCGCTGCCGCCGCCGCCAGCCTCCCGGTCTGATTCGTCCGTGAGGCCGCCTTCCGGCGGCGGCGGTGGTGGCAGCGGCAGCGGCCCCTCCGGGGTCTTCAGCGTCCGGAATATATCTGCTACCTGGCTGTAGCTTTGCGACGGCCGGGACGAGGGCTCGTCCGAAATCCCGTCGCCGCCACCGCCGCTGGCCGTCTGTGCCAGGGCTAACTCCAGAGCGGGGTGCGGCAGTCCCGACAGGCTAATGACGGTGGTTGGTTCGTCACCGCCGCCGCCGTCCCCCCGGCTGGCGCCGCGGCTGGCGCCGCCGCCGCTTCCGCTTCCTCCCCCGGTGCTGGTGCCTTGGCCTGTTCCTCCCGCTGTCCCTCCCCTCAGGCGGTGCAGGCCATGCGGCGGGCTGCGGCCGCGGTTGGGACTGACCTGGCGACTGCCGGTCTGCAGACCAGTAGGGGACCGGACCAGTAGGGGCCGGGGGATGTGGTGATGATTCTGGGTATTTTGTGAAGCGAGGTCAGCGGTGGCGCGGAGCACGGGGAGGGCGGGTCCGACATCACCAAATCACCAAATCACCATATCACCACATCACCATCATCATGGGGGAGGGCGGCCGGGAGAACAAACCACCGGTACCAGCTATAGGCCGCAGTACGCAGCAGCTCCCACCCCCCCCCACCTCCCCCCAACGGAACCCTTTTTCGCAATCGGCAATGACCGTCCCTCCGTAGCTCCAGTGCTAGGACCTCCATCAATCCCCAAGCAGCACGCCTCACCTCTCCTCCTCCACCCTGGTTAGTTACTTCTCAAATACTGCTGGCGTATCAGTCTATCCTGGGCATCAGCTTCGCTCGTTCGCGCGGTTCGCCTCCTCACACCCCTCCTCACACCCCGCCACCTCCTCCACCTGACAGGCTTCCCATTCCGCGAACCGAGGACGTGTGGGGGCCGGGCTCAGATCCCGTGAACCCCCCTTCGAGTCGGACCTCACTCCCCCACCCCCACCCCCAACTCAACTCAACCCACCCGTGTAGCGGAACTGATTTCGCCGCTACCACCACCGCCCCTCCCCTGCCCTCCTTCCACCTCTTGCCCCCCTCCCTAACCCCCTTCCTCCTCCCCCTCCTCCCTCCCCCTCACCCCCCGTTCCTCCCCGGCCTCTCACCGCCGAGCCCCCGCTGGTCTCCACCCCGGCAGCGGAGTCCACATCGCTGTCCGCGAACTGGTCGGTGGTGAAGCTCGGCCAGGACATACGCAGATCCAGCTCGTCCTCCTGCGTCAGCACGTCCGTACTGCCGCAGCCGCCGGAGCCGCCGTCAACGGTACTGCCCACATGCAGCGCCGCGTAAGAGCCATCCTGGGAGATCAGCGGAAGGGGCCGGATCATTCCAGTTCCGGCGCTGGAGATGCTGCCCACGTGGGTGGACGAGCGCTCGTGACCCGGCGGCGTGTCGTCCAGCGGCGCCGCGAAACTAACCAAGCCGCCACCACTGGGACGGCGGTTCCGGAGCAACCCCGCCAGGTCGCGTGGGCGGGTGCTGCGGCGCGCACCCGGCCTGCGGAGCTTGGAGACGAATGCGGAGGAGCTGGCGAGGTTGACGTTGACGGCGTTGGGCAGGGAGGTAGCCTGGGCTATGGCGGCCTGGACCCCGGAAGGGAGGGAGCTGGCGAGCAGGCTGCCGGTGCCGTCGCCAGTGGCGCCGCCGCCGCTGGCGTTGGGTTGCAGCAGGCTGCTTGACTGAGTGACAAGGCGGCCGCCGAGGCCGGAGGAACGCAGCGGCGAGCCGTGGTGCGAGGCGGAGGCGGCCCCCGGTCGGAGAATACCCGCCTCCCGCTCGTCCACCTCGGCGGCAGTGCGCTGTGCTGCCTCCCGCAGCGCCATGGCCAGGGACACGGCTCCGGAACCACCTCCGCCGGGCCCTGCGCCCGCCCCGCCTAGCTGCCTTGGCTTCCATGCGGCCATGGCCTTCTCCCTCAATGTGAGGTGCTCCTCCAGCTTGTGCTGGGCCACTGTGGGGTGTGTGTGGAGGGGGGCAGCAAGGTGGGGGTGAGGGGGGGCGAGGAGACGGAACAGGGTGCAGGTCTTGTGTGTGTGGAGGGGGGGCCTTGAGGAGTGAAGGGGGGGTCCTAAACGGTGAAGACTCCCCACCCCCCCACCCCCCCTTCCCCCCACTCTACCCCCCTCCCCCCCACTATCACCCACCCGTGTAAGCGAATTGCGAAGTGGACAGCCGTATGATCTGGGCCGCAGTGAGCCCCGTCCACTCCAGGTTGTCATCCGGGCCCTTGCTGATCACCCGGCTACGTAGGGCGGGGACACTGCGCACTCGCACCATGGCCACAGCCGCGAACACCAGCTGGATGCGCTCCATGGTCAACTGGGAGGGGGGTGCGGGAGTTGGCGGGGCGGTCAGGGAGCCGTGGGGGGCGTTTGGGGGGTTAAAGTTTGGGGTTTGAGCCAGGGTAGAGACAGAAGTGCGGCTGAGGGAGGGTGGAACGTGTCAGAGGGGGTTTGGGAGGAGGGGGGAGTGCAGTGGCCAGTGTGGAGGGGGACCAGGGGGGTGAGGGGGGAAGATCCAGTTTGGAGAGCAAGGTTGTTAACCAACCATACGTACACATACATACACGCTTACACGCACATACACACATGCACACCCGCACGTACACACGTACACACATACGCACATGTACTGGCGGCTCAGATCATCACAACACGCACCCATCATACCCCCCCCCAGACGCGCCTCCTCACCGTCTTGTCCGCCATATCGGTATCCCGTATGAGCTGGGTGAACTGGTAGATGTTGATGCCCAGGGTCTGGGCCAGGGGGTCGATGGTGCAGTACAGGCTGAAGGCCCGGTCAACCTGGGGAACATGCGGACCGGGGAGTCCAGGCAGGCAGGGAGGGAGGAGGAGGAGGAGGAGGGTGGTGTTTTCAAGGAGCGGTACGTGGGGGGCAAACCCCTCTTTTTCCCCCACCGGGAAATACCCCCCTTTAAATCCTGACACCCAAAACAGTTCCACCAAAGCATGCAGACACGCACAGCCCGCATCTCCCTGCGCGCATTGGCAGCCCCCAATCCCCTCCCACCTTCTCTTTTACCGCTTCCCCCCCTCGGGGGGCTCCCCGGGGCCTCCTCCCCCGTACCTGTCTCTGCAGCTCGACGTCGTTGTGTTTTACTCTGTTGAACTTCCACGGGTAGAGGATCTTCTCCCGCCACAGTCCCACCGCCTCCAACATGGCGGGCAGGTGCTGCAGGGTGTCGCCCAGGGTGGGCAGCAGCTGCACACTGCTCAGTACGGCACCGGTGGGGGTCTGAGTGGCGGCCTTGATGGACAGACACGCCGCCAGGATCTCAACGAATTGCGGGTACGACACGGGCGAGGACAGCACGTTCTCGGGCCGCATGTCCCAGGGTCGGTCCAGAGGAACCTGGCGGGGAGCGTGTGTGTGTATGTGTGTGTGTGTGTGAAGGGGGGGGGGAGAGCGGGAAAGGAAGGGTAGTGGGAGGGAATGTTTTTATGATCCAGGAAAGGATAGAAAGCGATCGCGCTGGGTCCTGGTGACACGGACATGCAAGCAGGTTAAGGTGTAGGATGGGCGCGACGTGGCTTGAGAGTGTACGGTCAAGTTGTACGTCACCCTGAAATATGATGTACACCGTACCACGTACCAGGTACTGCCCGATGACGAAGGCCAGCACGTAGGCCAGGAGGCGGTCGCGCTTTGCGTGCTCCAGCGCCAGTTGCTCCTCACTTGTCAGCTGGTTTCGGAGGGCCTTGCGTGTCGTACCATAGTACACGCCCAGAATGTCAAAGTCGTACACCACGCCTGCAATCTGTTCAAAGATGGAACAACAATGATGATGGCTACAACGCCGGCGACGCCGGCGAGGGACGCGTTCGTGAGGCGCAGGGTTGTTGCCGCACTACGACAGAGTCGCTTCCCCTCCGCCCCCCCTTCAGCCCCCCTCCTGGAGAGCAGCGAGGAACCCAAGACCCTGGTCCACCGACTCCAAACCGCTTGAGAGCCCCTTAGAAATCTCCCTGGAAGCTCCCCTCCCCTCCCTCCGCCCTCTCACCGTTTCCAGCCCCAGCAGGTTGCATGCGTCGGGTTGCTGCCACATGGCGAATACATCTGACCTCTGGTACAGCGAGCTAGACACCGCGGTGCTGTTCACCGCCGCCCTCCGCGCGTGGAGCACCTCCACCGGCCACCACCAGGGCACCTGGTCCACCACTGCAAGGCGGTCCAGATAGAACTCGGCGACCTGCGGGATGGTGGGGTCGGTGGGTCGGTGGGTCGGTGGAGGGCCACGAGGTGGAGGGTGTGTGTGCACCTGCTCTCTTCCCTCCAGAACTGCAACTGCGTCCTCTAATCCCTTGTTCCCCAGCCCGGCCCTGTGGCCCCAGCCGACAGCGGCGGATACCCGTCCCCCTCCCTCCCTCCCTCCCTCTCTTCCCCCTCCCTCCGGCCCCCCTTCCGCTACCCTGTGCAGGTGCGTGATGATCCTGCTCATCAGTCTGGGCAGCAGCCCCGACTGCCTGATGAACTGGGCCAGTCTCAGGAGGGGCACGGTGAAGGGCTGCTCCAACTGGGCCAGACCCAGACGCATGTCCTGAGGGGCAAGAGGGGGGACGGGGAGATAAACAGGAGGGGGCCACAGCCCGACTCGAACGTGTCTTGACGGGTAGGGAACACGGTGCGAAGAGGGGAGGGTTTGCACCGAGGCGCGGAGAGGGAGGGACAACAGGTGGGTTCCCCCTGCCGCCCCCTGCCGCCCCCTGCCGCCCCCTGCCGCCCCTCTCCCCCCCGGCAGCTCCCCCTACCTGCATGGACAGGTGCAGGTCCTGCGGCGCCGAGTGCTCCGAGGTCAGGAAGATGTACGCCTGGTGCAGGGTGAGGCTGTTGGGGCCGCTGTCCAGGGCCCGGAGCATCTCGGTGCGGATCACCTGGCCAGCGGCAGCCGCAGCGGCAGCCGCAAGGGGGGAACCCGGGGGCGGGGGAAGCAGGGGTCTTGGAGGAAGGGGTTTAGCTGGGGAGGCGAGGGAGGGAGGCGAGGGAGCAATCAACCAAGCCAAAGATTGTGCTACGAAACTTGGTTTGATGTCGGATTTTGATATCGTATGTCCTTGTGTTTTTCATGGACACACCGCAACCAAGTAAATTTCGGAAGGGGAGGGGAAAATTGCGCGAGTTCCCCAATGGATGGGGGAATGGGGGAACCCCAGCCATTTTTTTCCCGGGCCCCCCCCCCCGGGGGCCCCCCCCCCCCCCCACTTTACCCCGATGTGTCCCACCTGTCCCAGCACCCAGGGCAGTGGGGTCGCACACGTCTTCTTGAGCTTGGTGAAGTAGTGTAGGGCCAGCTGCTGCAGCAGTGCGGGTGCGGCCAGGTGGGGGGTGTTGCTGTTGGAGGAGGCCACCTGCCGGTTCTGCATAAGCCCCATCAGCAGGTCCACCACATCGGCGTCCTGGAGCCGCTCGTCGGGTCCTGGGGGCGGAACAGGACGGGAAGGAAAGAAAGGGGGGAGAGGGAGGGGAAGAGGGATTCGGCGACGTTACGCCGAAACACAGAGAAGGCACACGATGCGCAGATAATGCCTTCCCACTTTATGTATCGCCCTACAGATACTAGCGCAGGACACCACCCTAACCCCGCCCGAATGACATCACCCCTTCCCCCCACCTCCTCTCCCCTCCCGGGTGAACTAACCCCCCTTGGTCGTCATCTTCCACGTACTACGCCATACACTCCTAAATAACCCTTAAACTTTTTCCCACCCCTTTTTTGCCCCTTACCCCCCAAGGCGCGTAGCAAGGCGGCACGCACCCCCACACCACCCCGTCCTTTCATCCACCTCCACCTCCAGCTCAGCCCCCCTTGCATCTCCCCTCTACAAGCCCCCGCAACCCCCAACACCCCCCCCCCAACCGAACCCACTCATCCACTCATCCGCCCACCTGACAAGTCGTCCTTGTCCGTACGGGGCATGTATGCCCGTACATCCACAACCCGGAGACTGGGCGGTGTGCCGGGTGTCCCCAGCCGCGATCCCCCCCCACCGACACTCCCCGTGCTCTCCTCCTGCACCATACCCAACAATGAGTCCCGACCCCGCCCAAGAGAACCAACGCCGCCGCCGCCGCCACCAGCAACTCCGCTCCCGCCCCCGGCACCGCCGCCGCCGCCGCCATTAGCACTGCACGTCAGCGGCGTGGTGGGTTGCGAGCCCCCCACACCTATGGGGGTACCAAGCACCCGGCTAGCAAAGGCAGCGACGCCGCCACTGCCCCCACCCAGCCTGGACGGCCCCAAGAGCTGCGGCGGCTCGGGTCGGGAGAAGCTGTTGGCGGCGCTGGGGCTGCAGGTGGTGAAGGAGCCGCCGAACCCGACACGACCGCTGGGGCGGCCGTCGGAGTCCGCGGCGCGGGGGGAAGCTCGGGCACCGGAGACGGAGGGCTCCGGAACCGGGGGGTGGAGGCGTACGGCAAGCATATTGATGGGGCCGGTTGGGTTGTTGGAGAAGTCCCCTGGACGCAAGGGCAGGCAGGGGGCTGAGGCGGCGGGAAAGGGGAAAGGGGAGAGGGAGCGGGGAAGGGAGGAAAAGGGAGAGGGGAAAAGGGAGAGGAGGGATACAAGCAAGGGAAGGGACAAGATGTTTTACCACACACACATACACACACACCGGCCGGGCAGCAGGCCACCGGCGACAAAGGCAAGGAACGGTGAGACGGGGCGAAGAGAGGCAGAGCGAGGCGCGGCGCCGAAGCCCGCCGGCAATCGCAATGACAATCGGCCCCCTACCCCACCCAAACTTCAGGAATTAAGACCCGAGGACAGGGCCAAGGAGGGCTCCGAAGCCTCCCAGCTACCGGCCATCGGCTCCCCAGCCTGCCTTCGAATCCTTCCCCAGACCCAGACCCAGACCCAGACCCAGACCCAGACCCAGACCCAGACCCAGACCCAGACCCAGACCCAGACCCAGACCCAGACCCAGACCCAGACCCAGACCCAGACCCAGACCCAGACCCAGACCCAGACCCAGACCCAGACCCAGACCCAGACCCAGACCCAGACCCAGGCCGGCCCTCTGCGGCCCCTGATGCGCCCCCGTCTCCATCTGTCACTCACTGCCCGCCTGCGCCACCGCCTGTTTCATGCTGGGGGGTATCCTGGCGTGTTTGTTGGTGAGCTGCACCCGGTAGAGCTCGATGACGTCATTGTACTCGCTGATGTTGTCGATGAGGCCGGCTTGCCTGGGGAGAGAGGGGGGAAGGCGGAGGTGGTGCTGAAGGTGGGAGGTGGGGGGGTTACGGACGTCGTGATGCCGCATCACAGCACTCGCGCACATCACCAGGCGCCTGCGGGGACATGCGCCTCAACATGTGGTGTCAACAGCATCAGAGCGATAGCTGCAGCAGTAGCAGCAGTAGCAGTAGCGACTGTGGCAAAACTCTTGTCGAGTTAGGGGTATGGGGACGGGAAGGCGGCGGTAGCGGTAGTTCCCCAGGCCCTACATCCACATCCCCTCTCCTGTCCTCCCAGGTCCCGACTTACCACCCCTCCCCCTTCTACCACCACCATCACCACCACCCCGCCAATACCCCAGCCCCGTCTCCCCCCCCTTGCGACCCTACCCTACCACCACCTCCACCACCACCACCACACGATAACACACACCTGCAGAAGACCAGCAGCATATCCAACGTGCACAGCTCGTCACGGGCGTCGGCAGGTGGCTCGTCCAGCTCAATGTACGGAAAGGGGTCCCTGTACGCTTCCTGGAGCGACGCAATATGGACGCGGTTCATGCCGTACATGCTGCGCGTGCTGCGACCACTGGAGGGCCGCCTGAGGGGCGAGAAGGGGGGAGGCAGCGAGGGGGTTGGGGGCAGTTGAAGAGGCAGTACCAGTGGGGCGGAGGGGAGGGGCAGGTTGTGAAGCGGTAAGCAGCTGAGAGCGGCTGGCGTCCCTCACAACCTTTACCGCACTTACAGGCAACGACAGGCCTTCGCCCCAAAAAAGATACTTTGTGGGAGTTCCGTACGCCAGGTCACCGGAGAGGTGTATGGCGGGGTGGTATGGCTTTGCGACCACCTTACTCGTCGACTTGTTATCCTCCGCTGGCCCCCCTCACCCCCCTTCCCTACCCGCCCCGCCACGCACCTATCCGGTGACCTGGCTCGCACCCGGGCGGGTGATCCCCCAACCAATCGCGCCTGCGCAGCCCGCCGTACGGCATGCCAGTGCCGGGCGTACTGCCGCAACATCAGCATCATCGCATTGCGGGTCTCCTCGAGAGTCGTGTGGTGCCTGGGGGTTGCGACAGGGGGGAGGGGGGGAACAGAAACACAAGCCCCAGGACTAAGATATCCGCCAAACGGAAGACAGTCCAAGGTTGGGGGTTTCTGTGTGGGGCTGGAAAGGTGAGAAGCGAAAAGACGAACCACGAACGAGTGAAGCTGCTTCCAAGGAAAGAGTTCTGCCAAGAGGAGAGGGGGAGGGGGGGAGATGCGGCACCGGCGAGGGTGCCCGATTGCTACAAAATCTATGTGTGCTCTTGCTACCTGTCGTCCTACCCCCTTCCCCCAGGTTCGACAACCTCCGGACGGCCCTCACCAGGTTCCCACCCCACCCCATCCCCTCCATCATCCTTCCCACCAACGCCGCCGGCCGGCTTCCCGCCTCACCCATCACCCACCACCCGCGAAGCAGGCGGGCCCCCCAGGGTTCCATGAAACCCGGAATGCTCCTAACGGCAGACCTTCGCCTTCGCCTTCGTCCGTCACGTCTGGGTTGCGTCGGAGTGCGTTCACTCCCGCTTTCCTTATGAACGCCCTCCGACG